CTACATTTGGAAATTTTTACATTTTTGCAGGTGGTGCAATACGATCTGGTGTCTGCAATGGAGAGCAAAATGCGGCTTCTTCTCTCCGCTCTAAGTGCGGCATCAGGATTCCACCTTGGTATATTTGCGGCACAAGGCAGCCCTCATCTCCTGCCACTTGGGACTCGGAGCGGTAAACAGCGTCTGGTTCGGGAAGCAGCCGGATTTTGCTCTCCATTGCTCTCTAGGCCCCATGCAAGCTCTCGTCTCTCGAGGAGCGCTCCCTGAAGTGGTGTGGGAAACTTTGGTTGGGCTTCTCGAGAGATGAGAAGTTGCAGGGGGCCGAGAGAGCAATGGAGAGCAAAATCCGGCTGCTCCCTGAACCAGACGCTGTTTACCACTCTGAGTCGGCAGGAAACGAGGGCTGCCTTGCACCGCAAATATACCAAGGCGGAATTCTGATGCTGCACTTACAGCAGAGAGAAGAAGCTGGATTTTGCTCTCCATTGCAGACACTAGATCGGCCCCCTGCAAGTGAATGAGAGAGAGAGAGTGGGGGAGAGTGGAGGAGAGAGAGAGAGAGAGAGAAAGAGGTGGGGAGAGGGAAAGAGAATGAGAGAAAGAGGGGGAGAGGGAGAGAGAAAGAGGGGGGAGAGAGTGAAAGAGTGGGAGTGGGAGAAGGGGGAGAAAGAGAATGGGAGAAAGAGGGAGGGAAAGAGAAAGAGGGGAGAGAGAAAGAGAGAGAAAGAGTGGTGGAGAGAGAGAAGGGGGAGAGAAAGAGAGAATGAGAGAGAGAGTGGGGGAGGGAGACAGAAAGAGGGGGAGAGAAAAAGAGAATGAGAGAGAGAGAGTGGGGGAGAGAGAAAGAGGGGAGAGAGAATGAGAGAATGAGAGAGAGACAGTGGGGGAGAGAGGGAGAGAGAATGAGAGAATGAGAGAGAGTGGGGGAGAGAGGGAGAGAGAAAGGGGGGAGAGAAAGAGAATGAGAGAAAGAGTGGGAGAGAGAGAGAAAGGGGGGAGAGAAAGAGAGAATGATAGAGGGGGGGAAAGAGAAAGGGGGGGGGAGAGTGCCTGAAGGACCCTATCCCGTCACTGGGAGTCCAGGTGCTAAAGCAAGCGGCGCACTGGATTCGTATTAGTGGTCCGCGAAATTTAAAAGTATGAACTTGGTGGTCCCTGAGGTCCAAAAGATTGGGGACCCCTGCTCTGGAGGATTTAAGTAGCTTAACTGTGCTTGCTTGCCAATACCAGAATTACAGAGTTGGAAGGGACCTTTGGAGGTCTTCTAGTCCAGGGATCTCCAACCTTGGCAACTTTCTCTGCCTGGGCCTGATGCTTCCTGAGAGGCAGAGGGTCTCTCTGAATGGGACCCCCTCCCCAAAAGGCTGGCCCCAAAGCCCTAGCTCAGAGGTCTTCAAACTTGGCAGCTTTAAGACTTGTGGACATCAACTCCCAGAATTCTCTAGCCAGCTTTCTGGGAGTTGAAGTCTGCCAGGCTTAAAGTTGCCAAGGTTGGAGATCTCTGGACTAGAAGATAAATTATGGCATAAATGATGACCGGTCAAAAGTGCGAGGACCTGTCAGAAATCACTTTTTTCAGCCCTCTGGGTAGTCCCTATGTACGACCGTTCTCACATTTTACGATTTGCGTCCTATCTTGTCACCATGGTGAAGAGAAGTAGTGGTGAAATGACTGACACGGTTGTTAAGAATGCCGCAACGGGCATAAATGTGAGGATGGTCATAAGTGCGAGGACCGGTCAAAAGTGCAAGGACCAGTCCTTGAACTTACGACTGTCCTCACATTTTACGATTTGCACTCTATCTTTTCACCGTGGTGACGAGAAGTAGTGGTGAAATGACTGACACGGTTGTTAAGAATGGCGCAACGGGCATAAATGTGAGTATGGTCATAAGTGCGAGGACCGGTCAAAAGTGTGAGGATCAGTCAGAAATGACTTTTTTCAGCCATCTGAGTAGTCCCTATGCACATAGCCATGTCCACCCGGTCACATGACCAGATAGCCACGTCTACCCAGTCACATGACCACCAAGCCACACCCCCAACTAAGCCACACCCATAGAACCGGTTGTTAAAAAAATTGAACCCCACCACTGCACAAGTCCTAATATTAGATGAGAACGTGAGCAAATCTGAAAACTACTTCCACTGAAGAAATATTTGGGGAAGTTTTATCAAGTTCATTGATTCTGCAAAACCTTCAGTGCCTTTCAGTAAAGTAATCTGAACAGTGAGGCCACTGTTCCTCAGATAGCTGGCTGTGAGTCTCTCTTTGTGAAGTGGGGTCAGGGGGTGCAGATGGGTTTGCTGACTACGTACCTGGCTCCCTGCCACGTAGCAGCTGCCCTGCCTGAGCTGCTCGACGTAATAGCCGGGGTGGCGGTGGATACCTCCAGGCTTATGGTCATGGGGGATTTCAACCTGCCATCCGTCAGTGAAACGTCGGAAGCGGCTCGGGAGTTCATGGCTTCCATGACGGCCATGGACCTGACCCAGTTAGTTCATGACCCCACCCACACTGGGGGACACACGCTGGACTTGATTTTTGTCTCTGGTCAGTGGTTGAATGATCTTACAATAGGGGACCTAGTCATTAAGTCCTTGTCATGGACAGATCATTCGCTCCTTCAGCTGGACTTTCGGACCGCTGCCCCTCACTGCAGGGAGACGGAACCGACCAGGTGGTCCCGTCCCAGGCGCCTGATGCACCCCGAGAGGTTCCTGACGGAGCTTGGGCCATTCCCAGAGGCTCTGATTCACGGCTCGGCTGAGGAACTGGCAGCCGCCTGGGACAGGGCGGCCACCGGAGCCTTGGACCGCGGCGCGCCTTTGCGGCCTCTGACTCGGTGCCGTTGTCAATTGGCTCCTTGGTTCCCTGAGGAGCTGAGAGAGATGAAGCGCCGGAAAAGACGCCTAGAGAGCGATTGGAGGTCTAGCCTCACCGAATCTGACCGAACACTGGTGAGGTCTTATATCAAGACCTAACTAGTGGCAATAAGAATGGCGAAATCTAACTATTTTTCCACTCTTATTGCATCTGCAGAGAACCGCCCAGCCGCCCTCTTCAGGGTGACCCGCTCTCTACTACAGGTGGGAGCGAGGGAGGATCCCTTGCAGGGTAGAGCTGAGGATTTTGGACAATACCTGCATGATAAAATTGCTCAGATTCGGGGCGGCCTGGACTCTGATTGGATAGCCTTGGACCGGATGACGGAAGTGAATCTTGAGAGTGTTATCTGGGAGGCGTTTTGACCATGTGACTCCTGAGGACGTGGACAGGATTTTGGGGAGGCTTAACGTAAGGTGACCAGATTTTAACATTGGTAAAGAGGGACATTGTGGGCGTGGCTTATTTTGTGGGCGTGGCTAGCTGGTCATGTGACTGGGTGGGCGTGGCTAGCTGGTCATGTGACCGGGTGGCCATGGCTATGTGTATAGGGTAAGGTGAACAGATTTTAACATTGGTAAGAGGGACACCATTGTGGGCGTGGCTTATTGTGTGGGCGTGGCTTGGAGGCCATGTGACTGGGTGGGCGTGGCTAGCTGGTCATGTGACCGGGTGGCCATGGCTATGTGTATAGGGACTACTCAGAGGGTTGGAAAGTCATTTCTGACAGGTCCTCACACTTTTGACCGGTCCTCACACTTATGACCATCCTCACATTTATGCCCGTGCAGCATTCTTAACAACCATGTCACTCATTTCACAACTGCTTCTCTTCACCATGGTGACAAGATAGGGCAAAAACGTAAAATGTGAGGACAGTCGTAAGTTCGAGGACTGGTCAAAAATGCGAGGACCAGTCAAAAATAACTTTTTCAGCCCTCTGAGTAGTCCATATGCATAAAAGGATACACCAAGAGAGGGATGAAGGAAGGGAAGGGAGATTAGAGTAGGAGTGAGGGTAAAAGAGGGAGGAAGAGAGGAGGAGAAGGAGAAAGGAAGAGGAAGTAGGGAGGAGAAGAAGAGGGGGGGAAGAGAAAGTAAGAAGGAAAGAAAAGAGAGTGGTGGTAGGTTTGAGGAGAAAGATTGCTGTACAATAAAAAAGATGAAAGGGAAGAAAGCCAACCCCAAACAAATATAAAGATATTAAGATAAAGGATGAATTGTTAAACTTTAAAGAATAAGAGAACAAATATAAATAAATAGCAATAATTAGAAACACACATACAAACATACAATGTATTTTCTTTGAACAGAATATTTGGCTGGTTCCCAAATTTTGGTAGAGCCTTGGTAGTACAGTGGTCTAAAGCACCCTGTTATTAAAACCAGCTGCCTGCAATTATTGCAGGTTCGAATCTCACCAGGCTCAAGGTTGACTCAGCCTTCCATCCTTTCTAAGGTAGGTAAATTGAGGACCCAGTTTGTGGGGGCAATAAGCTGACTTTGTATAAATATACAAAAGTATGAAGGCTATTGCTTAGCGCATTGTAAGCCGCCCTGAGTCTCCAGAGAAGGGCGGCATATAAATCAAAAATTTAAAAAAAAAATTTAAACAGTGTTTAGTCATTTCAATTAAATTTACAATGTCTATATTTCCTTTTTGCCATATTTATTCCTCATCTATTTTTTTAAAAAAACAATATTACCCTTTATCCTCATCTCTAATCTTAATCAAATTCAATTTTTCCCTTCTATTCTATATTATACCCCTTCTCATTGTCATCTATTTTTATATCCATCCTCACATTGGTTAATTATGTAATTATGTAATAAAGTTGTTTAATACAAATTCAACATTTTAATATAAATCAATTAGTTATATAACTATCTTTTTTGTATATTAATCAATATGAACATGAATATTCCAATTATTTCCATGCAATCCAATTTCTTACAAATCAATTAATTATATTTACCAATAATAATAAACCAAATAATTTCCCCCATATATTCCTCCAAAGAGGGACACCATTGACGGGGGGGGGGCGGGGATTCGGTTCTTGATTAAATATTTCTATATGGAGCATCAAAAATTTTCATACAACGCAAAAATAGTATTCTAATATATTTTTTTATTTCAACATAACTACAATTTACAAATATAATAAATAATTATTGTATAAATGTATAGTATTATTTTATTCTTTGTCATATTTCTCATTTGAGTGAATTTTTTTTAGTAGATTGCTGTCGTTGTTTAAAAGGTCATGAAATTTTTCACAAGAATTTGTTAAATTATATTTCACACATAAAATGGCTTTCAAAGTCTCAACACTTAATTGTGATTTTTCTGATGTCCACACTTTATTTACCGTAGAAAAAACGCGTTCAGTCGCAGCATTAGTTCCTGGTAAGGACAGCGCATATTCCACAATTTTTAGTGCATTATTGTATGGAACATGGTTTGTTTCAAAATGATGAAATATTTCTAACCATTTGTTCTCTATTGTGATTTTTGCTGATGCCCAAGATTTAACCTTTTCCTTATCAATATATTTTTTTAATAATGATACCTCATCAAAAAGATCATTTTCAGAAATATTACTACATGGGAAATTTTGAGTAATATAATCGAATGATTTTTGCACATTATTCCAATTAAGTTCTTGTTTTAATGTAACCCAATGAAAATGTTCAATATCATTGTAATGTACCGTCCACTCTTCTAAATAATCTATGCAGTTACTATAGAAGTTTTTGACACGATTCATGAAATCTACACGATTTATTGCACCTTGTTCTTCTAGCTGGCTTATACTATTACGGATAGTTAATGGAACAAAATTATTTTCTAACCGCTCTTGATACTGAAATTTTAAATTATTAACTTCATTTGCTACTTCGATTACCGAAATTTTGTCACCTTCAATAAGTTTTATAGCGTTTTGAAAAAGAGCTGCTTGATTGTGTACAAACTCTAGCCAAATTTTTGAAGATTCTTTTTCAAAAAACTCTTCTAAAATTCTAGGACATTTATCCTGTGATAGAAAGTAGGATTTCAAAGGATCGTATATTTTCAAAATTCTTTCGACAGCTGGCAAAAGAGCTAACCAGCGCATTTTACTGTATTCAAGTATTTTGTGATATTCGACTTCCGCAGTTTCACAAAATTCTTTAAGCATTTCAACGCGCACAGTGTATATATAGAAATAAGAATATATTTTAATAACAATATTTTCCACATCTACGGGCAACAAGTCAGCAGCTGTTTGAATGGCGTTATGTATTATGTGCGCTGCACAACCAACACCAATAATGTTTTGATTAAGGTTTTTGTTTAATTTATAAAAAATATTATTTGTACCTCTTCTCGCTTTTCCTCCAAAATTTGCGTTCGTGTTGTCTGCACAATATGCAATCATTTTATGTTTTAAATTGTTTTTTTCCAAAATATTAATAATGGAATTGAAAATTATTTCAGAAGTTTCGCCGGGCAAAGAAACGAAATCTAAAATTCTAATTTTTATTCCAGTTTCCAAATCAAAAAATCTAATAATGGTTGGAAATAACTTTATATCCTTATGATTAGATGCGTCAGAATATATGGATATAAAATTAATTTTTTCTAGATTTTTGTTTAATTCTGAAAATGCATATGGGAAAAGCACATTACACACAATTGCCTCGGATTTTGTTCTAGCACAGGCAAATTTTTTGTTGAATAACTTTCTGACAACTTGTGATGTACAGTCCATAGATCTGAAGGAATGATTGTGATTAATAGCATGAAAAGACATAAGTCCTTCTGCTAATGCTAATTTCTTTTCTTCGTCTCCATAAATTGTTTTCTGAAAAAATTCCTGTATTTTGGAGGAAGATGCAGCAGTATTTAAATATCTTTTATGTTTCTGTGTCCCCAAGTGCTTTGAAATATCATTCTTCCCGCCGTGAAAAATAGAAAATTCACCATTACATTTCTCACATTTTACCATGTAATCGCTTTTGGTTTTTTTAATAAAAGGAAATTCACTTCTTAGATCATCGTTGAATTTGCATCCTCTTTTCTTACTCATGTTAAAAATCTAAAAAAATTTAATTTAAAATTATATTATAAATTATTATATACATATTGCTTAAAAACACAGTAAGTAGGTACATAATTACATGAACATATTTTATTGTTAGTTTAAAAATTAAATTAATTTAAGAATGCTGCAACGGGCATAAATGATGACTGGCCATAAGTGTGAGGACCAGTCAAAAGTGCGAGGACCTGTCAGAAATGACTTTTTCAGCCCTCTGAGTAGTCCATATGCACAAAAGGACTAACCAGAGGGCTGAAAAAAGTCATTTCTGACAGGTCCTCGCACTTTTGACTGGTCCTCACACTTATGACCATCCTCACATTTATGCCCGTGCAGCATTATTAACAACCATGTCACTCATTTCACAACTGCTTCTCTTCACCATGGTGATAAGATAGGGAAAAAAACGTAAAATGTGAAGACAGTCGTAAGTTCGAGGAGTGGTCAAAAGTGCAAGGACCAGTCAAAAATAACTTTTTCAGCCCTCTGAGTAGTCCATATGCACAAAAGGACTAACCAGAGGGCTGAAAAAAGTCATTTCTGACAGGTCCTCACACTTTTGACTGGTCCTCACACTTACGACCATCCTCACATTTATGCCCGTGCAGCATTCTTAACAACCATGTCACTCATTTCACAACTGCTTCTCTTCACCATGATGACAAGATAGGGCAAAAAACGTAAAATGTGAGGACAGTCGTAAGTTCGAGGACTGGTCAAAAGTGCAAGGACCAGTCAAAAATAACTTTTTCAGCCCTCTGAGTAGTCCATATGCACAAAAGGACTAACCAGAGGGCTGAAAAAAGTCATTTCTGACAGGTCCTCGCACTTTTGACTGGTCCTCACACTTATGACCATCCTCACATTTATGCCCGTGCAGCATTCTTAACAACCATGTCACTCATTTCACAACTGCTTCTCTTCACCATGATGACAAGATAGGGCAAAAATGTAAAATGTGAGGACAGTCGTAAGTTCGAGGACTGGTCAAAAGTGCGAGGACCAGTCAAAAATAACTTTTTCAGCCCTCTGAGTAGTCCATATGCATAAAAGGATACAGTAATTGAGAGGGATGAAGGAAGGGAAGGGAAATTAGAGTAGGAGTGACGGTTAAGAGAGGGAGGAAGAGAGGAGGAGAAGGAGAAAGGAAGAGGAAGTAGGGAGGAGAAGAAGAGGGGGGGAAGAGAAAGTAAGAAGGAAAGAAAAGAGAGGTGGTAGGTTTGAGGAGAAAGATTGCTGTACAATAAAAAAGATGAAAGGGAAGAAAGCCAACCCCAAACAAATATAAAGATATTAAGATAAAGAATGAATTGTTAAACTTTAAAGAATAAAAGAGAACAAATATGAATAAATAGCAATAATTAGAAACACATATACATACAATGTATTTTCTTTGAACAGAATATTTGGCTGGTTCACAAATTTAAACAGTGTTTAGTCATTTCAATTAAATTTACAATTTCTATATTTCCTTTTTGCCATATTTATTCCTCATCTATTTTTTTAAAAAAACAATATTACCCTTCATCCTCATCTCTAATCTTAATCAAATTCAATTTTTCCCTTCTATTCTATTTTATACCCCTTCCCATTGTCATCTATTTTTATATCCATCCTCACATTGGTTAATTATGTAATTATGTAATACAGTTGTTTAATACAAATTCAACATTTTAATATAAATCAATTAGTTATATAACTATCTTTTTTGTATATTAATCAATATGAACATGAATATTCCAATTATTTCCATGCAATCCAATTTCTTACAAATCAATTAATTATACTTACCAATAATAATAAACCAAATAATTTCCCCCATATATTCCTCCAAACCACAACTTAACCATTTCTGCTTTCAACACAGTATACAATTAATAATATCTCAATTATTACAATTCCCTAGTTAAAAAGAGCTTTTTTTTCTTTTGTGTTTTAAAATCTTGAACTCTCCTCTTTTGCCCTAAATAATTTTCCATTGTTTGCACTTACCTTTTTTGGTGAGGAAAAGGAAAATAAATCTGCTGCCTAATTTTCCAACGTTGCAAGCAAACCGCAAAGCCAACAGCCTGTTTTACTTTCAGTTTCGTTTTGAGCTTGGTTTGCACAAAGAGGGAAAAAAAACTGAGCAATTTAGCAAGAGCAGAGCCCTGTGCAAATCAGCTGAGAGGGGGAAGCCGAGCTAATTAACGTAGGGCGGCCCTTTGAAGCCCCGCGGCAAGAGTTTAAACAGGTTTTTTCCCTCTAGCCATCAACGGGGATTCAGGAGGCAGCCGGGAACCAGGAGGCAGAATGAAAAATCGGGACTTTTTTAAAACGCCACGGGACGCGGGACAAATTGCTCAAAAGCGGGACGTCTGGTCACCTTAGCTTAACGCTACATGTTTACTGAACCCATGTCCCTCCTGGTTGGTGCTGGCCTCCCGGGAGGTTACACGAGGCTGGTTTCAGGAGATTACCAATGCATAGTTGAGTGAGGGTGTCTTCCCATTTGCCCTGAAAGAGGTGGTGGTGAGGCCCCTCCTCAAGAAGCCTTCCCTGGACCCGGCTGTATTAGCTAATTATCATCCTGTCTCCAACCTCCGCTTCGCGGCAAAGGTTGTTGAGAGTGTGGTGGCAAGACAACTTCCTCGATTTCTGGATGAAGCTGTCTATCTAGATCTGTGCCAGTCGGGCTTCAGGACGGGTTACAGCACGGAAATGGCATTGATTGCATTGGTTGATGATCTCTGGAGGGCTCGGGACAGGGGTTGCTCCTCTGTCCTGGTCCTCCTAGATCTCTCAGCGGCTTTTGATACCATCGATCATGGTATCATGCTGTGTCGGCTAGAGGGGGTCGGAGTGGGGGGCACCATGCTACAGTGGTTCTCCTCCTTCCTCTCTGACCGCAGAGGTGGACCTCGAGGTTCCTCACGTGGGGTGCCGCAAGGGTCAGTCCTCTCGCCCCTCCTGTTTAACATTTATGTGAAGCTGCTGGGTGAGATCATCTGTGGCTTTGGGGTGAAGTGTCAACTGTATGCTGATGACACACAGTTGTACATTTCAACCTCAGGCCTCCCCAATGATGCCCTTGAGGTGATGTCCCGTTGCCTGGAGGCCGTGCGGATCTGGATGGGGAGGAAAAGGCTCAGACTCAACCCCTCCAAGACTGAGTGGCTGTGGCTTCCGACGGCCCGATATAGTCAGTTAACACCGTCGCTGGCTATTGGGGATGAGATCTTACCCCCTCAGAGAGGGTATCGCAACTTGGGCATCCTCCTGGATTCACGGCTGTCTTTGGATGATCATATGACGGCCGTGGCCAGGGGGGCTTTTTATCAGATTCGCCTGATCTCCCAGTTGCGTCCATTTCTGGATTAGGACGCCGTGCGCACAGTCACTCATGCCCTCGTCACTTCCCGTCTGGACTATTGTAATGCCCTCTACATGGGGCTCCCCTTGAGGAGCACCCAGAGGCTCCAACTGGTCCAGAATGCAGCCGCGCGAGTAATAATGAGGGCGACTCGTCGTTCCCATGTAACACCCCTCTTGCGCGAGCTGCACTGGCTCCCGGTGGTCTTCCAGGTACATTTCAAGGTGTTGGTTACCACCTTTAAAGCGCTCCATGGCTTAGGACTTGGTTATCTACAGGACCGCATTCTGCCACCGATTGCCTCCCACCGACCATTACGCTCCCACAGAGAGGGCCTCCTCAGGGTGCCGTCGGCCAAACAATGTAGGCTGGCGACCCCCAGGGGGAGAGTCTTCTCTGCAGAACTTTCAGTGCCTTTTAGTAAAGTAATCCCATTTCTGGATCAACTGATCTATCGCTCTGTCTATCACTGATTGATCTAGTAGTCTGAGCCATTGGCTGAAAGGAAGAAAACAAAGAAGAGAAAATTCCCTGGGAAAATCATTTCTCAGCCTTTGCAAATCGGGAATGTTTGATCTCCTAATCGAGGCGCAAATCAGAGGATTGGAAATTATTTTGTATTCCTGGATTACATGCTCAACACGGCCACTCCCTTTGGATTTTAATAGTCAGTTTTATTTTTTAATACAGTTTGCTTATTTTTGAACTACTGGTTATAAATAAGGTTTTTTAAAAATGGTAATGTGGCAATGTGAGTATTTAGTTATTTTTCATTAGCCTTGCAGAATTTCGAGTCAAAGAATTCTCCCCCAAAAAGGGTCTCTAGCAGTTACTGTCACTGCGATACATTTACTCTTGAAGGACTTTTTAAAAATTGCTTCTTATAAACTCAAAGTTGGAGGAGTACGGAGCAGAAAGAGGAAGCTATGCTGGCTGACAGGAACTTGAAAATGCTATTCTGCTCTGCATGTGGAAGAACACAAAAATAATCCAGGCCAAACAAGCGGGAGAAATAGAAGGAGGGAGCCCTCTGCACACCCACTTCACTTCCTGAAGGGAGAATAGAAATCTAATCACTTTTCCCTTTCTTACCTGATTTGGAGATTCAACCACTGTTTGATTTCCATCATAAAAACCAGAAAGCTTCATTCTTTGTTTCTCTGTAAGGAATAAATAATTTCAAAATCCATAATTAACAAAATAGGAGATATTCTATAGAAGAGAAGAGAGAACGAAGTTAAGACAGATGGGAAATCGGAGGATCTTCCATTACCTCCTGAGGTGTCCGGACTTGGATCTTCCCAAGGGATCCTCCTGAAAAACAGCTCCTGAGGGGGATTTGATGGGTTCTTCTTTCCCTCAGGATCTCTGATCTCCACAGTGCAGCACTTCCAGTAGGAGGAAGGAAAAAAGAAGCAGAATTAATGTACATCACGCGACATAAAGTGGATTCCTATATTCAGAACGCCACCTCAAAGCCCCCAATATCCATCCGTGAGGTTGAATGAGAAACAATGGAACAATGTCCTACAAGAATAGGTGGGACATTGCCACATATTATGAATGTCAGAGAAGTTTGGGAAGGAAGGGTGAAGTATTCAAATAGATTCTCTATTCTCTTTTGAACTCTTACCTGCAACTCGACCTGCTCCTTCTGCTCCTCCGCTTGGCTCAGGAGGAGGCCTTCCGCCAGGGCCACCGCCTGGGAGCTGGTCTCTGCTCCACACTCCCTCACCCAGCCCTCCATCTCTGGGGGCAGAAGGAACAGGAGCTGCTCCAGAACCATCAGGTCCAGCATCTGGGCTTTGGTGTTCTTCTCTGGTCTCAGCCATCGCCTGCAAAAGCCATGGAGTCGGCTGCAAAGTCCTCGGGGACCCTCAGCCTCCCGGTATTGGATGGAGGTCCAGGGCTGAACTTCTGAAGGGAGGATGGTTTCCTCCTCCAGGATCTCCTGCCCGGTTCTTGTCCAGAGCTTCCCCCCCTTCCCAGGCTGAGCAGCTGAAGGGCCTTTTCCGGCTCCCTCCTTTGCAAAAGGTTGTGTCTCCATCCTTTCTCTGTCCTGCAGAGCAACTGCAAATGGCTCCAAGGACTCTGGTGGGTCTCCAGATGCCTTTTCCTTCACGGGACCATTTCTGGGGCTGCAGGACTGATCCCTGCAAGGGATTCCGCTCTTTTTCTTCTTCTTCCCCCAAGAGGAAAGTTTGCCTTGCAAAGACCACAAATGGCTTCCAGCTTCTGTATCTGAGAAGGGAAGAAAAAGAAATGCTAGACTCACCCGGAGCCTCTCCGTAAGTCCTAGAGAGGCAAGGCTCCAGTGGACCAATGGGGAAGTGCCTGGAGTCACCTTCCCTTGGCAGAGGGCGCCCCCTGGTGGATTTGGTGCAAAGTGCCAGGATCGTAGAAAGGGCAGGAAAGAGGAGTGAATGGGAGGGGAAAGGGAGAGGGCGGGGAGGATGGGCTTGGGAGTAGGAGGAAAGGCCCCTCCCAATGGCTCCCTGTCAGACAAAGGCTTCGATGTCTGTGCTTCTTTTCCCCCTTTTATATGAACCCAAATGCATGGAAGGAGGTTTTCCTCTTTCTTCTGTTGCGTTTCTAGAGCTGTTGATTATTTCTTATATACATATAATGGAACTCCACCTCCACCTCTTTCATTCGGCCTGCTTCTTATTTATGGAATGGAAGGGAAGGGAAGGGAAGGGAATGGAATGGAAGGGAAGGGAAGGGAAGGGAAGGGAAGGGAAGGAAGAGAAGAGAAGAGAAGAGAAGAGAAGAGAAGAGAAGAGAAGAGAAGAGAAGAGAAAAAATAAATATTCTTTCTGGCAGCCGCTGAGATATCAAAAGGTGCCATCATGTCTGCCCTCCTTCTTTTCATCAGACTAGAAAATACCCAGTTCCAGGAACCAAGTTTTTTAAATATGTTTTTGCCTCCATCTTTGTTGCTCTTCTCTGCACTCTTTCTAGAGTCTCAAGATCTTATTTACTATACAAAACACAAAGAAAAATAGAAATAGGAAATTAAGGAAAGGAGAAAAAGAGGGGAAAAGAAAGTTTGAGGTACAAGAAAAAGGGGGGGGGAAAGTTGACTTCTTTTTAGCACAGTGCAAGGAAAAAAAACAATTATTCCAACCTGACAATTCCATCTAATGGACAAAAGCAAAGTCGTTTGTTTCCTTTGAACACTTTAAATGTGAAGATATTCAATTTAATGGCTGAAGAAGGTTAAGTGCACAATGGTCTCGAAGACCCTGTTGTGGTTGAGGGGATCTGTGCTCTGATTGGTTGCTGCGGGTGGAAAGGGGGCGTTTCCCTTTTTCCCGCCTTTTCCTTCTGGGCGCCGTTTGAGATTTACCTCAGGATGTTCCTGACTGTCTTCTCTGCTGTGAATCTTAAATTCATTTATATGGATATAAAACTAAAAGTTTGTGTCCGTATCTCCCTCTTCCATTGGACAGCAGCTGCGTATTTCCTCCATATTAAACTTCTTCAGTTGCACCTTCCAGTCGAGGGTTTTGATTTTATCTCCTGATTCTGACAACGAGGAGGCTGGTGTGGTGCTGCGCCAGCACCCTGTGCAGCTGGCACTCGAGTCAAACAATGAGGAGGCTGGAGAAGATGTGATGCCAGAGGCAGGGATTCAGCCAGGGCCTTCAGAACCTGGCGGGGACCTCGGCTGTAGAAAAGCCGGCACAAGGCCGCTAGCCAGTGGACCACTAGCAGCCTGATCGCAAAAGCGATCCTTAGAGCCTTGGTAGCACAGTGGTCTAAAGCACCCTGTTATTAAGACCAGCTGCCTGCAATTACTGCAGGTTCGAATCTTGCCAGGCTCAAGGTTGACTCAGCCTTCCATCCTTTCTAAGCTGGGAAAATTGAGGATCCAGTTGTGGGGGCAATAAGGTGACTTTGTATAAATATACAAAAGGATGAAGGCTATTGCTTAGCACATTGTAAGCTACCCTGAGTCTCCGGAGAAGGGTGGCATATAAATCATTTAAAAAAAAAAAAAAAGCGATCCTCACAATTACAATAAATCGCTTCGAAAGCTCACACTTAGATGATCACAGAATGAAAGGTGAAGCCGCTCATTCAAACACGTCTCTCTGCGCTGAAGACTGAGCCGAACTGGGGAAGCACCAGGCGAGAAAGGAGGGACTACATGTGCAAATTATGATCACGTGCTCCGACTCCAGGCAGAACAGAGCAACACCTATCCTATCCTGGATTCTCTCAATGCAGCTCCAGGGAGAATAACATATGTTTATTCCCTTTCAATCCCCTCCCCCAAGGCAGGCCCACACTGCAGGGGGGTGGTTGATAGGCAGGGACAGATAGAGGGAGAATAGGCCCATTTCATGGAGGAAAAGGCTGGGAAGGACCAGGAATTCCTCCCCATTTCATCTGCAGGGGATTCTGGAATTCTCCCTAAATGACTTAATTAGAGGGTTAATCAAGAAGGGAGGGCCCACTTCCCCTGCTCCCACTCTGCAGAAGTTTCATACGAACAGAGAAGATGGGGCTAGGATGGGGGTGGCAGCAAAGGAGGGAGCCTGGGGCTCCTTTAGCTGGAAATTGAGTCAAATGTCACAAGGAAAAAGGGGGGTCAAGAACTGGCCACAAAGTTGGGGTGCTCCCTCCCCGAGGGAGGAATGGGAAGGAATGTCCCCTTCCTTCCCTTCCCATTTGCAATTTCCCAAAACATGGAAAAATTCTGGGCAAGATTTTAGTGTTTGTGTGTGCTTTTCTTTTTCATTGCAATACTTTTTCAGGTCTCTATTTTTCAGGTCTCTGTAAGGAAAAGCTGCCCCAAATCTCCAAAATTTCCTTGTGCGGCCACCTGTTCTTCAGCCACTGGACCTCAATGGGTAAAAGCCCATCGTGGTGCACAAGGAGGATGGTGTTGGGGGAAGCGGGGTCCATTGTGGTGGAGATGGTGATGGTGGGCTTGGCTGGAGGGAAGGAAGGAAGAGGAGGCACAGGAGAGGCACAGGACCCAGAATAGAATACAAAGTTGGTTACTTCAGATGCCACATGGGACTGACTGACCATGCAGCGCCATGCCAAGATCCTTGCTGAGGGGGGGATTTGGGGGAATGCAAAGGGAGACCCCCCAGACCTGGCTCTGCCTGCAGCTGGCTGGCCTCCTTCCAGGTGGGGAGGGGTCCGAGTCCCAGATGGCAGCTTGGCCGGGATGGGGTGGCAGGGGTGGGTTCTACTTACCTTTACTACCAGTTTGCAACGGGGCCGCACACTCTCGCTTCGCTCCCACGCTCTTTTGCACAGGTGCAGAACCATTTTGGTGACGTCGGGGTCAGTGGGTGGAGCCTCCCGCCGGTTTTACTACTGGTTCTATAGAACTGGTGCAAATGGGGGGCAACCCACCACTGGCGGCAAGAAGTGTGGAAGGGAATGAGGGGGGATCTTGGGGAAAGGGAAGGTGGGGGCAGATTGAGGCTGAATCAGTAAGATCCAGGGATCACCACACATCCTTTGACTGGATCCCTCTTGATCTCCTCCTTCACCAAATCCTCTAACTGGCACAATTCTTAGTTGGATTAATGGGAGGGTCTGGGTGAGCCCCAGTGGGGGGTTGCTCCTGGTTCGCACCGGTTCGCAAGAACCGGTAGTAAAAATTTGCAGTAGTTCAGAGAACCCGTAATAACATTGGCTGGCCACGCCCCCGAACCGGTCCCTGGCCCGGTTACTGCTCGCTTACCCCAATCTCTTAAGGTTGTAGAAAAAATGCTTTTAAAAGTTAAAAAAATATTGGCAACGCCTACCCAGTCACATTAATCCCCCCACCAAGCCACACCCACAAAAATAAGCCACGCCCACAAAACCAGTAGTAAAAAAATTTAGTACCCACCCCTGGTGAGCCCCCCAAGATGGTCCTTTAAAGGTTCACTCCAGCTCAGAGTACTTTGCTAAGTGTTTCTCACTGTTGAGGGATTGTTTTTAATAACTGTTAATTCTATAATGCTGAAGAACATTCAATTTGTTATTTCTAATTTGAAGCAGAGCTCTAATCTGGTTGCCACCCAGACAAAGAACAACATTTCAGGTGTGGGTTGTTCTTGTTTTTTTCATCATAAGCCCATTTGCATCTGGGAACATTAAAGATCTTTGTGGAATAGCTAAAAAAAAGGCAGCGGCTTTGCAAAGTGAAAATCGTGAGTGAGCAAGAAATGCAAATTCTGGATGAGAAGAAATATTTCAGCAAGAAAACGGATGGAGCATTTTAAATAAGTGGAAATTGAAGTTTCAAATTGGCATTTTATTGAAAACATTTTGAACTCGTATAGATTACTTTTAATAGTTGATTCAGCCTTTCATACTTCTAAGGTCGCTAAAATGAGGACCCAGATTGCTGGGGACAATACGCTGACTTTGTAAATTGCTCAGAGATAAAGTGGTAAAGCATTGTGGAGTAGCATATAAATCTAAGTGGAATTGCTATTGCTATATAGTTTCTCCCCAGCATGGATCCTTTTATGAGAAGTAAGATGACTATTGTGAGCAAAACTCTTTCCACACTCCATGCATTTATACGGCTTCTCCGTATGTGTGGATCCTCTTATGGGAAATAAGACTACTTCTATGAGCAAAGGTCTTTCCACACTCCGTGCATTTATATGGTTTCTCCCCTGTGTGGATTCTTTTATGGGAAATAAGACTACTTCTATGAGCAAAGGTCTTTCCACATTCCATGCATTTAAATGGTTTCTCCATTTCCTGAATGGAGCTTTTTGTGGTTTCTAAGTCCATTTTTCCGAGCAAAACTCTTTCCACACTCCATGCATTTATACGGCTTCTCCCCTGTGTGGATCCTCTTATGGGAAATAAGATGACTTCTTTGAGCAAAGGTCTTTCCACATTCCATGCATGTATATGGCTTCTCCCCTGTGTGGAATCTTTTATGGGAAATAAGACTACTTTTATAAGCAAAGGTCTTTCTACATTCCGTGCATTTATACGGCTTCTCCCCTGAGTGGAGCATTTTGTGTCTTGTAAGTCCATGTCTCCGAGCAAAACTCTTTCCACAATCCATGCATTTATATGGCTTCTCCCCTGTGTGGATCATCTTATGGGAAATAAGATTATGTTTTTGAGCAAAGGTCTTTCCACATTCCATGCATTTAAATGGTTTCTCTCCTGTGTGTACCTTTTTGTGTCTTGTAAGTCCATTTCTCTGAGCAAAACTCTTTCCACACTCCTCGCATTTATACGGCTTCTCCCCTGTGTGGATCATCTTATGGGAAATAAAATGACTTCTTCGAGCAAAGGTTTTTCCACACTCCGTGTATTTATACGGCTTCTCCCCTGTGTGGATCATCTTATGGGAAATAAAATGACTTCTTCGAGCAAAGGTTTTTCCACACTCCGTGTATTTATACGGCTTCTCCCCTGTGTGGATCATCTTATGGGAAATAAGATTACCTTTTTGAGCAAAACTCTTTCCACAATCCATGCATTTATATGGCTTCTCCCCTGTGTGGATCATCTTATGGGAAATAAGATTATGTTTTTGAGCAAAGATCTTTCCACATTCCATGCATTTAAATGGTTTCTCTCCTGTGTGTACCTTTTTGTGTCTTGTAAGTCCATTTCTCTGAGCAAAACTTTTTCCACACTCCTCGCATTTATACGGCTTCTCCCCTGTGTGGATCATCTTATGGGAAATAAAATGACTTCTTCGAGCAAAGGTCTTTCCACACTCCGTGTATTTATACGGCTTCTCCCCTGTGTGGATCCTTTTATGGATAGTAAGTTGCCAGCTTGTCCTAAAACATTTTCCACATTCCAAACATTTATAAGGCTTCTCTTTTGTGTGAATTGCTTTTGGAGAAGTAAGGAAGTTATTTCCAAGAGAAAGAATGAATGTCCCATTGTAATTTTGTCCGTTGTGTCTTCTTATAGCATCTTCTCCTTTGTTTTGGGTTAAATCCTGTTCATTTACTAGTACTTTAGCTTTGATTAGCTTCACAATTTTCCCAACATATTTTTTCCTTATTCTCTCTTTTTGGGCAAGAAAGTCTTGCATCGGAGCATCAGTGGAAGATGAGCTTTCCTGATTCCAATTCTTTGACTGGTTTCTCTCATGGCTTCCTAGTTCCATTCGAATTCCAAACTTCTCCGTTCCATCTTTAGCATTGATCACTTG